TATTATACACCTAATTTCATGCCTACAGTTATTGAATTCACTATACACCTAATTTCATGCATACAGGTATTGTGTTTATTATACACCTAATTTCATGCATACATTCGGATTTATTATACACCTAATTTCATGCATACAGTTATTTTGTTTATTATACACCTAATTTCATACATACAGTCGGGTTTATTATACACCTAATTTCATGCATACAGTTATTGGGTTTATTATAAACCTAATTTCATGCATACAGTTATTGAGTTTTTTTATACACCTAATTTCATGCATACCGGTATTGGAAATATTGTACAGGCAGCACCACAGATATCATGAGCTCTCATTGAATCGCCTTACTCTTGAGCTGAGCTATTATTTTACCAGTATGATTTGTAACATGAGATATCTTTGCTGCCCGTTCGGCTATGCTAGCCTGGAGCCCCAGGAGTTTACATTGCTCCTTACATTGTCAGTTTTAATAGTATTTCATATGGGATTTATGCAGTCTGTCTGCTGGTTATATAGATACTGCAGTATTCCACGTGTCATCTAGACACTGCTTTGTCTCTTGTGATTATTTCCTCACTTACTGCCTGCTCTGGGTTTGCACGTTCTCCAGGAGATATTTCACTGGAACTGTTATGTTGATGCAGTTTAGTGAATTCTGGAACACATTTAAGAGTACAATTGCCAGCTAGAAGCTACAGTTAGTTCTGCACGTTTCCTCTCTTACAAATATAGATTGTGCTTTTTTTCCCCACTGCATTATTTTATTACGGCTTTACTAAATATAATATTAATATATGTTGTATGTAATTAATTTGTGTATTTGTGTATCACAATTGTAAAGCTGTGTGAAATAGGTTTCACTATCTATAATTATTATTATTATTGCCATTTATACAGCGCCAACAGATTCCGTAGCGCTTTACAATATTATGAGAGGGGGATTTATCTATAATAGGACAATTTCAAGAAAACTTACAAGAACGATAGGTTGAAGAGGACCCTGCTCAAACGAGCTTACAGTTTGTATTAACATGTTATGTTATTATTGATAGTGAAAACATATTACATTTAAAAACATATTGTGTAATTAAATAATGTATTATTATTGTTATTCAATTAAAATAATAATAATAATAACATACAGCTCTGCTTCATCATTTTCCTATTGATGTATCATATATCTAACATTCTTATAATTATTGATTTATTTATTTGATACTCATTATGCTTCATCATTTGTTTTTAAGTTTTCAGTAGATTGTTTTTGAGCATGTAACTCTATAATCCCAGGTGGCCGTATAATGCAAATTAGGAAATTAAGAAGTTGTTCCAAGAGTTCTGCAACAGAGACAGATTCAATACACATTAAACAATATGTTAGCAGTTTAAATTGATACTTACAAATTGTTTGAACAAATAAACTTTACTGGGTCAAATAAACAGAAATAAATATTCAAAAATAGATACATTAATAAAATGAACTCAATAAAAAGCAGCCTGTAATATGTTGTAAAGAGAGTTCTACATTATCTGCAGAACCAATTTAACTAATCTTACTAATCACATTTGTTTTAACAATGACAACTCAAGTGAAAAGATATCAATATTTCCTGTCTATAAAAATAATTTAAAGAGTGTACACAAATGCCCACATTTACCCCCATACTGAGTCATTCACTAAAGAAAGAACTGAACTGCATTTCAAACTGTATGCCAAAATAGCTGAATTTTAAAACTTATTAAAGACAGGTAAGCTCTAAATTCAACACGTTTGGCCTAAGATTTTAATTAAATTTTTAATTCACTTTGAATTCCCTAAAGATCTCTCTTTAGTAAATAACCCTTTCATTAACAAACATTCTCAACAGCTGTAGCCTCCGTTACATATCCTTTTCAGGCCACTCTTCTATACCTCTATAATGTCTTAATTAGCTAATATAACCAATCTTAATCCCTCTTCTATACCTCTATAATGTCTTAATTAGCTAATACAACCAATCTTAATCCCTCTTCTATACTTCTATACCTCTATAATGTCTTAATTAGCTAATACAACCAATCTTAATCCTTCTTCTGTACCTCTAAATGTCTCTATTAGCCAATACAACCAATCATAATCCCTCTTCTATACCTCTATAATGTCTTAATTAGCTAATACAACCAATCTCAATCCTTCTTCTATACCTCTAAATGTCTCTATTAGCCAATACAACCAATCTTAATCCCTCTTCTATACCTCTATAATGTCTTAATTAGCTAATACAACCAATCATAATCCCTCTTCTATACTGCTATACTTCTATAATGTCTTAATTAGCTAATACAACACATCTTAATCCCTCTTCTACACCTCTATAATGTCTTAATTAGCTAATAAAACCAATCTTAATCCCTCTTCTATACCTCTATAATGTCTTAATTATCTAATACAACCAATCTTAATCCCTCTTCTATACCTCTATAATGTCAGCTTTGACTGTCTTCTGGTCTGTTTTGTAGCTCTTACTCTCGCACTTTTCTTTCTTTCTTCTGTTACAAAACTCTTGCCAATGCAATGCATAGATAAAATTGACAATGCTCCCAATGGATTTGACCATGTTTGTTATAACAGAGCCACTTCTTTAATACTTAAAACATGTTTTAATCTCCAGGATGAGATATAAACTGCTACCATGAACTAATTCCAGTAATGTAACTCTAGTAGTAAGTAAACTGGACAGAATACTTGTTAATTCAAAGACTTCCTCCCCGGCCCATTGCCCACGCCCCCGAGGGAATTTCTGCATCACAGAGATTACTCTGCAGCCACGAAAAAGCCTTGCTTCTCATGTTGTCTGAATTTGCGGGATATATTTAGCCCACGGTGAAATCCCAGCTGAGGTAGCATTCTTTGTAAATGTAACCTATTTGTCATTTTAGATTTGTGAATTGGGAAACAAGACTGCACGCTCGATCACACATTCTGCTTGGATTAATAATTCAGTTAAGAGAATGAAAAGTCAGCACTAGCGAGGTACAGCAGACGCTGCTCTGTCCTACAAACACTTTTTTGCCAAAGTTTTCAGTTTTTATTTGCAAATCTGACAAATGCAAAAAATATATATTTTGCTTTGTGTAGCACATTTTGCATATCTACTGGGATACAATAAGGCAAGTAAGCAACTAGTTGTGTTTTTATGATCTATTTTAAATGTTATTGTACTATATTTACAGTGGCGTGTTCTTTGTCATTCGTTTATACAGCTGTACTTACTTTCATTGCTCTGCTAGCATCCAGTCTCACGGCTGAACGTACCTGCCTTATTGCAATCTACTTGAAAAACTGCTACGTTTTAGTAAAATATATCGAGTCTACTACGGTACAGGAATTCTGTATCATAATGTAATTAAAGAAAAAACACTCCACCAGAGTCAACACTTTTGAAAGTCTCTGAGGTTTATTCACTAAACAGTAAATAGAAAAATACAATATTTAAGTCAAAATAGCTGAGTTAGGGGAAAAAATAATAATCCACTGCACTGTAATCACAACTTGGCCATCTAGCCTGAGGTTTTCAAATCAGTTTTTTTTTTAAATTTACTAACATTAAGGACTTCATTCGGTGTGAATGTTTATTACTAGTATTTTATCATTTTATCAGTATTTTATGTCTTCAATTTGTCTGTAACGTTAACTTCTGTACAACTTTGCGTATTAAAGGGACACTCATCACAAAAGCACTTATGCTCCTCAAGTAGGTTATGATGTTCCTGTCTTCCTTCATTATATTCATTAGGATGGCAACTATACGTATACATTATACATAATATAAAAGTAGCTGACTGGATGGCGACTTTGTCTTTTGAGAAGTTCATTTTTTTTCTAATGAGTCACCACAGGGTCTGCCAAACGCAGAACATACATAACACTCCTATTGAATTCAAAAGGATCACTGTGATTGACTTTTGACCTCTGCTGACTCTTAGCATTTGCTACAAACAATAATTAATATTATTTTAATTTTTTATTTCTTTATTTTGGTTGTGGACAATATTACAAAGATGCCCGTATTGTCATATCAGCCTAGGCAGGCATATCTGTTAAACAGAGTATAACATAGGTTTGGCAAAGGAGAAAACAGCACTTTTTTTTTTTTTTTTTTAAACTCCAAAAGATTCACACTTTTATTGAAATTAAGACTTTGAGTACAAAGGAATAATTAAACAAAGAAAAACAGCCCTCTATCTACCGGGTACTCAAGGAGACGGCTGATCACAGTGCAAAACCTCCCACAAACAAAAACATTGCTTTTATTTAAAAAAAAGTATTTTTTTTTAACTTTCACAAATCAAGTTCATTAGAAAAAGGATGCCCCTTTAGCCCCATTTGGTGTCTGAGGAATAGTGGATTAATCCTTTGAGTGACTGGAAGGTGTGGAAAGCAATGATCACTCAGCTGCACTCACAGAATTAAAGGCATGCGTATTCTACTCAGAGTTAAACATCTCTCTGTGAAAGAATCATGCAATCAATTTTCCCCATGCTGCAGGGACATTTTACCCATCTGCCCAATAACCTATACAGGTTATCTTATCACTAACCACAATGTTGACAATCGCTGAATTTGTCAATCCCATTCTGCAGAGAGACAAGTATTTTTTGACAGCTGCATCTCTGAAGATCCTGCAGTACATTTTTTTTAACCAAAGAAAAAACAGTGGACATATTTACTGTTAGGGCTAGTGCTAACTAGGGTAAAGTAGTAGATATGGTGAGTACGAACATATTTAGAAAGTGCCACCCTCGGCATCTCCCTGGATATATGTGGAACATAATGTACAGAGTATAAAATAACATGACTATGGCCGTTTGATCTAGCTGATATGGGATGTGTGAATAGAAGAAGTAATAGCTCTTTATGTGAAGCAGAAAACAAAAGATGAAAGCCTGTCTCAATATATTCAGCTAGCTGTGATGAGGCTTATATCAAGAAGCTTGTTATATCAGTCAGCCTATACCAGCTAGTGGAAGACCACAGTTCCAGTGAGCATTGATTCCCAGTCTCCTGGCTGCAGACAACAGCTGTGAATTTTGTGTTCTCCTGAGCTGCCCCCTCTGTATTTCAGCTGTCCATGGATCTCTCATGCTTGCAGGTGTTGGCCTGGTCACTGCACTCTTTGCAGCATGCTGCTGTGACCTTCGCCTCCGTTGGTGCGCTTTTTCCACTTTAAAAGTTGCTTGTTGGCTATGGGTGCTGCGAAGTGGGCTTGCAGGCTCTCTGACAGCTTGCAGGGCATGTATGAACAGTCTGTAAATTTTCTGCCAGAAGGCTTTGAATATAGTGTCCAGGTTATGGGAAGCAGGGGCATGGGGCACGTACGGCATCTGCCATGTTGTGTAAGCCATTGTTGGGTTTGTTGTTGGTCATGGCCTCAGCACATGTGCACTGGGAACCTCTGGGGTGGGGACCAGGATCACCCCCACCAGTCCAAAGGGGGTTTGGAAGGCACCATGTCGACAACGACGGTATTCGGCCTGTGCTGGGTCGGGAGATCAGCCGCCTCTCTACAGCACCTGTGGGCCGCACTAATGGTAATGCAGAACTTAGGCTGGGCAGCAGTCAGAGACTGCTGGGAAGCATTCTCAGAACAGTCTGTCGAGTCAGGGTTCCACATTTGTGCTGCCAGCCCCAAAACGAGAGTCCTAAGAGATGTTTGCCAACCTTATTCTTCCATACATCAGGAGCTCTCAGGTCTTGTGTCCTGCCGCCATCAAGGTCCCGCCACCCTAGACTATTATTATTTTTATTCATAAAGCACCAGCCGTATCCACACCACTGTACATTTTATACATTACAAATTTTAAGCTAACGCTCTCAGCCAACTAGTGGGCAGTCATTGAGGCTGTCTATCACCGGCCAATCAACTAACCTTGTCTCACATTGTACTGCAGAGAGATAGTAAACTGGGATATGGGAGTCCCACCTATGGGTTTAAATAGTTGGACCTCTAAAGGTCAGAAAGTGCTTGTATATTCCAGCCCCTATAACTACCTTAATGAATTTATGTGATGTGTAAAAAAAAAATTTAAAAATTAAAATTACATGTAGAATTAAACACACATCTGTCTAGAAACTAATTCCTTCATCTTGGCTCCCTGTTAATCATTGTTATAATCTCAACTCTTTTCTGTTATTGAGCAAAGTATGTGGAGGTTGAAAAAAATGGTTCATTTGTTGTTGAATTGGAATGTGTGCCCCAGTTGTGCCTGGGCTCAACTGGATTGCAGCGTCAATTGAGAAATCTTTAATATACATATAAAAGAAAAAAGAGTTAACACCAGATATTGGCGATTTCCAATGCCTAGAGATATAGTTTTGAGAAAAGTTACAGTACCAACTTAAGTGTTATGTAATGTGTTATTTAAAAAACATATTTCCAGCTGTGTTCTCTCTTTGCAACATAACATTTATATTCGGTTCACCTAAAGTTCTTTTTAGCCCAAACTTCCTTTATAAAAATAAAAAAATCAAACAAGATGCAGTGGTTAGAAAAGGCTTCCTACATCTTTTATATAGTGAGCAGCTAAAATAACTTAAAGAACATCAAAGAAGCCTTGATGTACCATTCCTGGGTACTCCAGGGATATTATCTAAACTCACAAGGGCTGGACAGACTGCTTTTCTATCGCCCTAGTGATGAAGGTCCGCGCTGTGCCTTTACTATATACTTAGTGTTATTGTTTTGTGTAAGTGGATTTATTATAGTTGTACAGTTAATGGGTTTTCTAGGCACGTGGTTATTCCTAAGGGGTCCAGATAGTTGGCTTTGTGTATTCCAGTAAAACTGTGAAGTATGAGACAATCTATTAGCTTTCCTTAAATGGGGGCTCCAGGCTAGATCTAGCACTGTTTCTTTTTAAATGCATTTAGTGAAGAGGCAATTTACAAATAAAATAAAAAACAATAAACTAAAAAAGAAATGCTCACATTTAAAGTGCCTGCATTGACCTACCAAACCATGAAGTGACTAACATTTACTACAGAGCAAGGGTTTCTGTGCATGACACAGCAAGGGTTTTAGGGTGTTCTACTTAAATTGTCACCTTTCTGCTCCAACTTCCAGATTGCAAAGTCATGGCCTCATGTACAGTAGAACATTTGGAGCAAAAATAGAAACAGTGCAGGAAAGGGAAGAAAGGGTGGGCTTATCGAGCCAAACTATTAGTAAAATGTATTGAGAAAAAAAATAGAAAAAAAGCATAACTAACCTTACTTAGTAGAACTGCGTACCCTCACCTAGTAGTTTGCATAACCTCACCTAGTAGTGCCTCACCAATTCAATTTGTAAGGTGTATCAATGGTCCAAGTGTTGTTTCTATCCCCATTAGAACAGGATTAAATCCTTGACAATTGGTGTTCTTTGAGGACTGGGTTAGATACCACTGACATAACCTACACATTTCTTATAATATCTAAAGGCACCCATAATTACCTCTAATGATTTCAATGTAACTGATATTTATCTACCATTGAAGCCAAGCTGACAGACAGGAAATGTTTAGGACAGACATTGATCTTCAGCTTCAGAAGCTATCATCTAGCACTGAACAGGGCTCAAGTCACTAGACAAAACTTAACACATGAACTTTGTCTTCAACTTCTCAGGGGTAAATAAATGACACCAAGCTTCACAGTATGTTTTATATCCAAATTGAAAACTGTTTACTCATTACAGAGAATATTCAAAACACATATTTAATCCAGTCAGACGGGAACTTCTATCATACACAACTAGTACACAGTTTGACTCAGACATTGCAGCTACTTGTGTTACAGCCCATTTATTGTATAATAACAATTAGCAGCTGAGCGAATTGAGTCTAAGTAATCCGCACTAGTGAAATAACTCTGTATGAACTCATTTAACTGCAATGTGGAAATCGGGAAAAAATAGGTCAAGTGTGTCTTTTATTGGCCTTTCCAACAGTAGAATAGTATTATTTACCCTGGGAGAATAAGCTTGATGTTTCGAGATGCAATGCACACACCTGGGATAGATAAGATAGCACTTTCCTTGTGTAAAGTGTTCTGTGTTTGGGAACACTGGTTGTTATCTTATATATTCTGATCAGAGACAACAGTCATGATATGGCTGCAATTCTATTTTTCCTGTATCAATTTGGGAAAGCCAAGGAAGTGTGAGTAGCTGGACTACCCCATCTGCAAATGCTTAATGATAAATACATCCTTGTTTTCTCTGTATTGGAAGCTCTTCCAAACAAAGCACTTAGAATATTAATGTAACATTTGTATACGGTTTATACACTCTTTGAACAACACTGCAAGATAGGCTGGCATATTGTCAATAAATATATTATAATCCTATTTATTTTGCGTGCTATTGGCAGAACACTGTTGGAGAAAACAAAGCAGACTAACTAAATGCCACCACGGAGAGAAAAAGAAAATCTAAAAATGTCTTTTTTCAAGAATACCCACCATTACTGCCAATTAAAAACACCCATCCACCATAGAAATTTACAGAAAAAATTAAAAAGCCACAGAGGGACAGCAGTAAAACTCACCATTTATTAAACTTACCATCTGTTTGATGCTGCTGTCTTACTCTTATACACAGTCTATAGAGTATGTGAACTGAACAATTACACTACTCTCAATCCACTTTGTGTACTATACTCTCAGGAGGTCTGGTCTTTGTGATACTGGCTGTGACTACTTTTGCTGCTCTATCTTTTTCTACAGGCTCACTATAAAAGGCCAGTTGACTATAAAGGCTGGTAGACCTCCTTCATGGGTCCAAGAGGGAACTAAATATGTAGATGTGGCAAGTTAACCTTTTACTAAGTTAACTTACTCCACCAGTTGTATCTTCTCAACACCCCATTCAGGTGGTCTTTTATATGAATATTTTAAAAGGATGAGCGAGTCGATCCTGTGTGTCCAACTTGTCTGGTTACAAATACTATTAGTCCACCCATTGTAGAGTACTGTGGAATTTGTTGGCGCTTTACAAATAATAATAATATGAAATTGGGTATTTTAAATATAAGCCTATCTCTAATTTGTAGCTAGAGAATGCATTGTTAGATCAGACCACAGTGTAACATATTCCTCCTCACCTTGCAGTCTCTGCATCCAGTGGCCGTGTGTCTGCATTACTGACACTAGTGGCATGTTAATGGACGCAGGCTGCTGCGGATCCATGGCAAAATATACCCCCACGTCCACTCACGTGATTGACGATGTCAGCGTGCACGTTTTGGGGGCAAAGAACGATTTCAGCCAATCAGAATAGTAAAGCAGGTATTTAAACCAAAGAAATACCTTCCCTCATTGCCCTGTCGTGGTTTCCCTAGTGGTTGTCTGAGAGCGCGTTCCTTATTCTGATTATTCTGGTTATTTAACTTTGGCATTGATTTTGACTGCCCTGTTTTCTGGTATCCCTGACCTCTGGATTTCCTTGATCGTTGTGTACCTTTCTGTGTCCCCTGACTTCAGCTATTCCTGACTATTCTTTGCTACGTGAGTCCGGCCATTCTAAGGCCCGGTATAAATTACCTATTAGTCTCCTGTTTTACATAGTTCTATGTGCTGGATCATACTGTAATCCTGACACACAGTCAATTTGGGTATAAAAAGTTACCATTTAAATACATTAGAGTTAGTTATATCTCATCTTCATCTGTTTGGTCATTATTGTTTTCATTAACTAAAATCATACAAACTGTGAGCTGTATGGCATTGTAAGAAAACAATCTGTTGTTGCCAAAACGAATCATGTAACACTAATTACATCAGAATTTAATAAATCTGATGTTTTTCATATGTGAGGCTATCAGAAGATCATCTGTTAAGCAATAATTCTTACTGTGTATGTGTGAGTTTTGGAGAATGCATACAATATGTTGAAGAATTTGCGTGTGTGGGAAGGAGTGATGTAAGGTATGAAGAAGAGAGATGAGCTTTGTTGGTTTATCTTTTCGAGATATATTCTCTGATCTTTGAAAAAGACACCACTAATTATATTCCCTAATACACAGATGAAGTTTAATGAGCTTATTGGAGAGAAACTTTTTTTTCTCAAACAAAATAATCAAGTCCACAGTTTGAAATAATGTGGCATTGCTGTGCATGGGGTGAACGATTAAGGTCACCAAGGACAATGTGCATCCAAACCAGCTGTTCAGATAAATAGCATCTACTTTACAAAATGTGCTGTCTTTTAAAAGAGAAAAAAATGTCAATTTAGCTAAATAATAAAGATTTTCACTGTGTTTAAACAGTCAGTTAAAGGTACAGATGAGTTTTATTTAAAAAAGTGAATTTTGTGGCCTAAAAACTGACTTGGAATAGCAAACAATGTCACACAATTACTTTTAAAGAA